GGGCAGACACGTGCCATGTGGCCACACCTGGCTGGGAGGCCTCTCTCTGCAGCTCACCAGCTCTCGGGGGTGTAAGTGGAGGCTTTGTTTTGATTGGGGAGGTGATTCCCATGTGGGGTGACTCCCTGGATGCTGTAAGTGTGCCACCTGTCAGAGCCTCTCCTGTGGCCCTCAGCCCAGGCCTGCCTGAGTAGCAGGTGTTTATGGACTGAGCACAGGAGAAGGTGGAAGCCAATGTGGGTAGCGTTGCTGCCCTGAGTATGGTAATTTTTGTAGTCTGTTCCCTCCGGGGACAGAGGTATTAACCTCTGGGGGATGGTGCTGGAGGGAGCCATGGGTGACTTGGTCACCTCTGATGGTGTACGTATACATTGTCTCGCTGGTACTGGTTCAGGGCCAGGGCTTGTGAGATGCCAATAGCCCGGAAAGGCAGATTAAACAGGAGCCCACTCCCCAGCCCTAGCTGTTCCCCTTCTTCCTGGCACATGCACTTGGCCTTGCCACTGGCTTCTGCATACTATGGCTGTGAAGTATGTTGCAGTTCTCTCCCAGGTCCAGCTCACTGGTTGATGCAGAGTTCTGCCCAGGGCCTTCCCACCAGGCCCTTAACCTGGGCCTGCCCTGGGGCACATGTCTGAGCTCAGTAAAGGTTGGGGCTGAGGCTGGGAGACCAACTTTTGATAGCCAGAGATGGGGTTGAACCCCCAGAATGGGGTTCAAACCAGACTTAGCCACTTACTAGCTGTGTGACCTTGGGCACGTTATTCAAACTCTTTGAGCCCCAGCACGTAGAACACAGTGCATACCGCAGTGACTGGCACATAACATGCGCTCCATGAATGTTAGCATTGCAAATCCTTGAAATTTGTACAGCCCCCATCTCACCTCCTCTACAAGGTTCAACACTTCTCTTTTGATGGCCCCGAGCAGCAACAGTCTCGATCGCTTATTTGACACCTAGTGCATGTTTCCAGCCATTCTCATGGCCCTTTATCCTCCCCCAGTGCCAGACACAGGGCTTAGCATGAAGGAGGATGTTCAGAATGGACAGCCTGAGAGCTGTGGGGCCTGGTTCCATGTCTTCTTGGCGGTGGGTACGTTTGAGAGATTTCCAGAAGTCTTCCTGCCGGAATGGGATCTAAGCCAGGCACCTGAAGGATTTGGGGGGCAGCTGGCTGAGACCCTGCTCATATCTCTGGGGCATGTATCTGGCACTTATCCAGGCCTAGAGAGGAAGCCCAGCACAAGAGGCTGTGTGTTTCTTTCCTGGTCCAGTGGGGACAGATGAGGGTTGGTAGGAGCTCAGGCCCCATCCTGAGGGTGGTATAGCCTCCCATGATGGAGGAGGCCACGCAGCTGTGCTGGGTGGGAAGTGGGAGGGCTGTTGCACAGGACAGGGCGAGGTCAGGCTCTGCGGGAGGACACGTGACACTTGCGCAGCCCCAATGTCAAGGGCATGCCTGCAGACAGAGCAGCATCCGTTATGGTACCTGGGCTGGAGGTTAGGGCCCAGGGGTCTCTTTCCACTGCCATTAGCCTCTGTCTCTGGGCCTCGCTTTCCTTCCCATAGCCACAGGGGCCAGAGGAAGAGCAAGAACTGGGAGCTCAGGGGCAACCCAGTAGCAGGACGGACCCTCCTTTGCCTGGGTACTCTGCTTCACCCTTTGGAGCCTGTGTCCCCCCTCCCTCTACTGTCTAGGCTACCTTGCCCCAAGCTGAGGATGGAGAGTCAGCATGGAGCCAACATTGCCCCTGCTTCAAACTGCTTTGGTGGTGGCCACACCAACCCTGCAGAGGGAGGGCTGTGTTTGGTTGCCGATGACCCACGGAAGAGAAGAGGAAGCAGACGGTTAAGGAGACGGGTTGGGGACGGTGTGCCTGGTAGTGTCAGAGCCTGAGCCAGAGTTGTGGAAATGAGATGCATTTTGCATGTGTGTGTGTGTGTGTGTGTGTGTTGTGCACATGTGCACCCCTCTTTGCAGACATGCATCCTGTGTCTATTGTGTTGTGTATTGGACTCCTGAGGGAAGGGCCTTTTTTCCCTTTTCTACGTTAGGAAGTGGGGTGGGCAGTGTGTCGGGGATGGGAGACGGCAGCAGGGCGTGAGGGAGCCAGTTCCTGCCCTAGAAGGACCTCTGGGAGCCTTCATTTCCTCCTCTGTAAAATGGGGACAATAATATCTACACTATAGAGACATTTGGGAGGACTGAATAAAAGCATACGTCTGAAAATCCCTGGTCTGTGGGAGCTGTCCGCAGTAAGTGTTCATTTTCTTCCTTCCTTCCACGGCAAACTTCCTGCACACCCCCCCGCCCCAGCACAGGATGGCTGCACTCCCCAGCTATTTGTGGATGATGTTCTTGGCAGATGTTGTTTAATTCTTATAACATCTGGTTTGGAAAGGCAGAGGGCTGGAGTTGCTTTTTTTTTTTAAAGACACTCACCAGGAGATGTCAGATTGTCACTTAATTGCTCTGTGCCTTGGTTTCTCCACTCGTAAATCAGGGATAATGCTGGCAATGCTGGCTAGCTAGCTTCTTTGCAGGATACGGTAGGCTAACGCAGGACAACAGATGGAAAGTGGTTTGAACGTTTAGCAAAAGGCATCGTGCTCAACCTCACTAGTAGTTAGGGAAATGCAAATGAAAGCAACAACGTCATACCATTTTTCATGCCTCAGATTGGCAGCCATTTAAAAGAGGGATCACTTCCAGGTGGGCACAAAGGCCCTCTCCTACGCTGCCGGAGGGGGTGGGAATTGCCACCACCTTTCCAGAAGATAATATGGCGATGTCTAATAAAGGTTTACATACATGCTCAGTGTGGTAGCTGATCAACCCAGTAATGCTGCAGCTGGAGAGCCATGTTCAAGAGCAACCAGAGCCGCCCCCCACCCAATTCCATGCAGAGGGCGGGCCATTGTGGCCTTGTCTGTGGCAGTGGGACCCTGGAAACGCCCAAATGCCCAACCGTAGGGGATGCTTGTGTCTCTTATGCCACATCCACACTCTGAACTATATGATTTAGCTCCTAAAGAGAAGGGGGTCAATGGAGCAGCGTTGACCTGGAGGGTCATCTGTGAAATATCATGATGTGAGAAGAGCAAGTTTCTTTTGTGTAGAGGCAGACTCCATTCTAAAGATAAACACAGCCGCACTGCTCCGTATGTGTGTGTAATGCGAACGTGTTTGCTTGGGTGCAGAGGAGGGCCTGGTAGGATGCATGCCCAGCCCAACCTGCCCACTCTGGCCTTCAGACACGTCCTATTAGGCTCATGAAAAGGGAATTATTTGCCAACATTTAAAAATTGAGCTCATATAAAAAGCCACGTTGCCAGCTTTTCATTGAGAAAAATCAGAAGCTCTGGTCACGCGGGGCCCACGTTCCCTCTTGGCTGGAACACGTCAGTGGCTGCCACTTTTGGACAGAGCCTGTGGCTTCTGAGTGGCCATCATCCCCACCCACCTGGCATCTCCCTCTTTTATGTTCCTGGCCTGGCCCAGGTAGTGTATCGGTTGGTACCCCTGTGATGGGCTATTAACATCCCAAAGCTCAAGGGGGTGGAAATACAGGAATATATGGGGGGGCACCTTTTATTATTTAAGTCCATCTAAGAATCTTTTATTCTTCAAATTGCTGTTTCATGCCTAGTAATCAGGACATTTTAAGTACAGAGTTAGAAGGGAAACAAAAGGGCATCACAGGCCATCGCTGGTTGTGTATTAGGAGCCCCGGCCCGGTTATGTCATGGGCCACTTGGGGCCCGGGCTGACAAAGGCCGCTCCGGGTCTGGAATGACGGGATCTAAGCTTGTGGCTTGCCCCTGGGTCATGCATGTGGAAGTCTCTCCAAAAACCCCTTCCCTTAGTTCCCTTCATCTCCCTGTGTCTTTCCTGATTGCTCATCCGTGAGGGAGGTGGCAGGTCAACTTGGGTCCAGATTCTGACCCCAACACCCATGAGCCAGGAGTCTCTGAGCAAATTGTTGAACTAGAGGATGATGTGCAGGCCCTTGGCTAGGGCCTGAGGGGATGCAGAGGTGTGTGGGCTGTGTCCCTGCACAAACAGGGCTGGCATTTTAGAGAGAGGTGGGGGTTCCCAGCTAAGAAGTGTGGGCCCCTCCTGGTATCACTGCTGGTCTCTGGGAGGCCCATCCCTGAGCTGTTACGAGGGTAAGAAGGCGCCAGAGGACCAAGGCCCTGCTGTAGTGGGGCCACTACTGTGGTGGGAGGTGCAACCCCCCTCCCCAACACCCTTAGAGGTGGGATCTCACCTTGCTGAGCCTCTGGAGCCTGGGCCCCAGATCTCTCTGGAGCTTCGCTCTGAGCCCCTAGAAATTTGGCTTCAGCTTTCTACAGACTCGCTGTGGAGCCCTGCACAGTTACTTCTCCTCTCTGTGCCTCTTTGGACACTGTGGTCTGCTGCTTTCTTTCATATCCAAGTTTTTAAGAGAATACGGTGGATATAAAAAGTGGGAGAAGACATGCCCATTGGGCACTTAGGTTGGGGGATCCGGGCTGTTGGGCCTGCCAGGCCCTCTCTTAGGCCCCTGACTTCCTGCTCAGCGCCCGTCTCCTATCCCTGTCCCCACACTAACCAAGCCCCGTCACTCCTGGGGCTGCCAAGGCAACAACCACCCCCCCCCCCCGCACTGAGCCCAGAATGCCTCAGTCATGCGTCCTGGGTTGGCTGCTGAGCTTTGCTCTCCGGGCTGTGCAGCCAGCCCCGCAAGGGCAGACCGCCCCACGGCCCCTGCCGCCAGCCCGGGCCGCTGTGTTATACCCAGCCCTGGACGAGGATGAAACCCAGTGATGCAGACCCTCTCTTCTTTCCCATGTGCGCTCCCCCCACCCCCACCCCCCAATATGAGGTGATTCCCTTTCCCCTTCCCAGGCCAGTTCTCCCTGGAGCTGCAGGGGTGGGGAGGTGGGGGAGGGGAGGTGGGGGAGGGGCTCCAAGAGCAGACTTGTCACCCTCTCCTTCCTTGTGTCCCCAGGAGCCATGAGGTGCCACGCTGCCACCAGCTGCCTCGTGGCTTGGCTGTTTGTGCTGATCTCTGGATGCTGGGGTAAGTTCCACCCTCTGCCCTTCCCGCCACACGGGGTTCGTGCTCCAGGACGGGGGTTGGGAGAGGGCTGCTCCGGGCCTGCAGACCTTGCCTTGCTGTGCGTGTGACCGGGCACGTGCTTCCCTCTCTGGGCCTCAGTTGCTGCAGCACTCCCTGGGCTGAAAATACCAGGCTCCCCGTGAGGGCAGGGGAGGAGCCTTGGAAAGGCAAGCTCTAGGGGCAGGAGGCATCCGTGCTGCGACCTGTGCTTGTGGGATGCAGGGCCCGGCCTCGGTTCTCTTCAGTGTCACGGTTGCTGTGGGAGAACCTGCTGTGTGAGGATGTGTGTCTGTGGTGCCCGGCTCCGGGGGTAGCCCAGAGCCTAGTGGGGGGAGGAAGACACAGCTAGGACTTAGGACACCGAATGCAGGTGAGCAGAGTGGTAATAAAGTGTGGACAGGGCTCCAGAGAAGCCCATCAGGAGAAAAGACTCACTGGGACAGGAGGGACCCGGCCAGAGGGAAAACTTTCATCTGGGCTTTGAAGCCTGGGAAGTCGTTTTAGAATAGGGGTGCAACGGGAAGGGAATCCCAGAGGAGGGACCAGCTGGAGCAAAGGTGTGGCGGTGAGGGGCACTTTCCCCTTGCAGGGAGGACCAGCCCTCCTTCCCCTGCCCCCTGCAGCAGCCAGATGCGCATCAGCTCTGGTGCCCATGGCAGAGGCTGGGAAAGATGCGGGCATGTGCCGGTCCCTTGGCTCCCGGACAGCTGGTGGCCAGGAACAAAGCAGCTCTGGGCTGCACTGAAGGAAGGCCAGGACCACAGGCACGGCTGTCTCCTGGGGCCAGGGTGTCCCCGGGGAAGAGCTGTGGGCACGGTGTGCCTGGTGACACGGGCAAACACATTCCTGAGTGAGGCCAGCCCCTTCGACACCTCCAGGGAGCCAGGGAGTCTCCGGAGTAAGCCAGCCTCGCACTGGCTGCCCGACAGTTCCTTGAAGATCCCCTCTCCTGGCCCCTGAGTTTGGAAGGATCTCTGCTGGCATGCCTCTGTGATGGTGAGCTCACTCCCATCCAGGCAGCCCGGGATTATAACGTAATCTCACTGACTCTCGGGGCAGAGCCGGGCGGGGGTGGGGGGCTCTCAGATCCTCTCTCAGCTCCTGGCCGACTTTGCTGGGAAACTGACACCCGGAGAAGCAAGCTGGCCCAAGGTCATGGAAAGCAGGGCGTGGCTGAGCCTCAGTCAGGGTCTCTGATCCTCCACGGGAGCTTCTGTCAGGATAGCACTCCCCCACCTGCCCTCTGAGCCCCATTCGGGGAGGCCTCCATGGGGGCACCCAAGACAGCTCTGACCTTCTGGCTCTGCTGGATGGTAGAAGTCAGGACGCTCTCCTCAGTCTCCCCAGGGGCTCTATGACCTTGGACGTGCACGCCCTTCCCCCCCCCCCCCCCCCCACCGCTGTGAAGAAGAAATACAGATGTAAAAATAAAACAGGGGCTGGCCGAGAGCTCAGCTGTATCCTCAGTAGAGGTGGCAGCTTCCTCCTGAGCTCTGGGGATAGTAGATGGCTCTTGCATCTCAAGTGGGCACAAGGGAGCAGCACTGAGCCAGGACTCCTGGGTTCCAGCCCCACTTCTCCAGTGGCCTCCCTGGGGCAGTGTCTTAGCCTCTCTGTCCTTTAGCTTTCTTATCTCTAAAGTCAGAAGGACCATAGGACTCCCCTCCTTCAGTTGTCAGGATGATCGGATGGGTTAATGCACATATCAAGCCCTTAGAAGAGCGCCTAGCACATATTAGGTGCTAAATATGTGTTAGCTCTTTGATTATGAGCTGTGTCTTTCTCCGGGGGAAGAAAAATGGGGCACAGAAAACAGAAAAGTTAAGCAAGTTGCCTGAGACCACCCAGCAACTGTGTGGCAAAACCAGTCTGTTTGGGGGTTAGTCTGTTTGCGTGTATATGAGGGGTGCTCTCTCTCATTGCTGGGTAGGGTCCCCTCTTCCTGGTCCCCATCTGAGGTCGCCAGTGTTACTTCTTTGGCATGGTGAGACCATGGCTGACTTAGGGACTGAAGGACACCATCTTTGCACCCTGCCCTTCCAACACCTGCCCCTGACCCCCAACCCTTCCCTTGTCCGCCAGACCATCCCACATCACCTCTCCCCACTTTGTTTGCATCTGACCCACAGCCCCAGTGGATCTCTCTCCCCATCCCGGGCAGTCAGAGATGGGTCAGGCTCACAGCTAAGCCCCCCCTAGATGCCAGACCCCCTTGTCAGCCTGTCATCTTCTCTCTGCCGAAGCTTGCTACCCTCTCTGGCCTCAGTGTGTTCTCAATGTGGGCCAGTTGGCACGGCAGGAGGTGAAGGCCTAAGCAGGCCTGCCCTGCCCCATCCTTGTCTGGCCTGGCCCCTGAGCATCCTGCTGGGTCCTGCAGTTGGTCCCCAGGCAGGAGGATGGGGGTTCCTGATGGTGGGGCTACCAGCTCTCATGCCCGACGGCAGCAGGTCAGGCTTCTGACCCCCGGGATGCCCAGGGCCCACAGTGCAGCCACCGCGACAAGACACCCCTGGCAGGGAGGCGGGCTGGGAGGGCAGTGCGGGGCTTTTCTCCTCACACTTGGAAATGGGGGCCAGAGAGAAAGAGGGATTTGCCTGAGGCCACGCAGCAGCGACTGGCGGAGCATGTAAGGCCTCTAGCTTTGTCCTCTCTGCCCAGGACTCCTCCTTGTCAGGGGGCTCCCCACAGCATGGATCTCAGTGTGAGCCCCTGTGCTTCCAGCCCCCCATCAGCAATCAGAGACCTGGGGAGGCAGGCATGGGCCGGATCCAGGCCCAGCTGCTTCAAGGCTCTGCCACTTCCCAGTGTTCATCAAGCCCAAAGAGGAATCCCCCCATCCCACAACCCCGAATAAAGTCAGTGCTTCCTGGCCTGGCGTCCCCAAATTCCGCCTGGCGCCAGTCATTCTGGGATCAGGTGCCCCAGGCCAGGACATTGCCCTCCTCTGTGCCCTTCCCGAATCTTTGTCATTCAGCAGCAGCAGCCCGAATGCTGTGTTCTCTGTGAGCCTCCCTGCTTCCCGCTGCCCTCAGGCCGGCGGCGGTGAGAAGCTGGATGCTGGGTGCTGTCGGCCATATTCCAAGCTGGTGGACTCCTGTCTACTGTGTAGGGAGCAATCAGTGTGAGTGGCCGGGGAAGGCAGGGAGACGCCCCCAGGGCAGAGCGAGCGCTAGATGTAGACTCGTGGGGGACGGGTGTGTGTGGGGTGTGTGGGGCACGGACAGAGGAGCGGGTCCTGGGCACGGGAAGCTGGGACTCTCGGTCACTCAAGTCCCCTGTGCCCCCTCTCCTTGTATATCCACTCACAGTCCAGCCTGGCTAGAGGTCTCGAAGCTCCTGAGGCAGCCGTTTTGCCTCAGGAGGACAGAGCCTTGGTGCCTTGAAAGTGGTTTTTAAGAGAACAAGTAAGTGACCTGTCCATGTGCCCCTTTCCCCACCCCCCTCCCACCAACCCCCTCCCAGTCCCCGGGTGCTGCCCTGGCAGCCCAGGGCCACAGGGCCTCTGGGGGTAGCAGGACTGTTCTGAGAACACAGGCCCTGCTTGGTATGTGGCAGGGGACACGTGCCCCCGAGGCCCTGCCAGCTACCCGTGCGGAGCTCTCCGCAGCTGATTATCGGCAGGTCCTGTGAAAGAAACTTTTAAAATGAATAATGCTGCTGCTGGCGATTTTTTTTTCCTCGCTGGTTTCCCTCTCCCGCTGCCCAAGCCCACTGCTGTATTCTCTGGGCATCCCTGAGCCTTCTGCCTGGGTTCACCCTGCTTCCCATACCGGAGCCCAAGGCTCCTCTTGGTGATCCAAAGCATCCCCCTCTGGCTGCCTGGGTGACACCATTATTACTACCAATATTAATAGTAGCTACCATTTATCCAGTGCTGGCTGTGTGCTGGGGCATGGCGCTAAGCGCTTTACGTATATAATCTCCCCTGATCCTCAGGACAACCATGAAGAAAGTCTTATTGTTGCTATTTTACACCTGAGTAAACTGAGGCATGGGCAGATCACGCAGCTAGAAAGAAGCACAGCGAAGTTCCGAACAAAGGCAAGGCCCTTGACCAGTGGCCTCTTTCTGAGGCTGTTGTATGTGTGAGGGGCTCTGGATTCCTGGTCTAAGAGGGTGGAAGAATGTGTGTGAGCATATGTTTGTAGTAATGGTGATCAAGGCGGGCTTCCTGGAAGAAGGGGTGTCTAAAATGAAACTTGAAGGATGAATAGGACTTGGACAGGTGAAGGCAGAAGGGCCAGCAGTCCTAGCCAGGAAGGGAGAGAATGTTTGAGGAATCAGAAATGGCATCATTCTGAGCAGATTTAGGGGGAGGAGGGAAAGATGCCACTCTGCCCACCCCTCCACTAGGAGCCATCTCAGGCAGGAGGGGGAAGTGCCCTCCCTCGGCTCCAGCCTTCTCACTTCCTGGGAGCTGGCTTCTGTTCTCCAGCTGGGCACAGGCCCTGAGAGAACCCCAGGTCAGCAGAAATGGGGGGGGGGCGTACCCAGAGGACCCAGCAGGAGCTGCTTAGGGCGGCACAACGTCAGCCCCGTGTGAGACAGACCTGATATCCACTGGTTGGCAGGGGCAGAAGGGGAAGTGCCCTCCTCACTTGCCTACTTCTGGGGTGTCTTCCCACACCAACAACCAATTCTTCAATTCTCTGGACACCAACTGGGTGTCCCACAATTTACTTACATTCAATTCTGACTCTATCTGGCGTTACTGTCAGATTATACAGATTTAAGGGTTCAGGCCTACAAGACCACCCCCACTTCACAGCCAGTCACAAGTCCCAGGTCCCCTGTACCCTGACCTACCACCTATAAGTCAGGGGTTCCTGTGACCACCTGCCCCCCCCTTCCTCTGGTTTGATCTCAAAACTCAGGGAGGCACTTTGCTTACATTTACGGGGGTAAACAAAGGGTACAACTCAGGGACGGCCAGATGGAGCGGGGGTGAGGGCAGTGTGGAGTTTCCATGTCCTCTCCGGGGGCACCACCCTCCCAGCACAGGGCTATATTCACCTCCTGGAACATCATCAGATCTCTTAAATCTTCAGCCCCTCCCCTCCCTGCAGGTCCGGGGACCGGGGGGCGGGGGGGAGGGCTAAAAGTGCCCACCCTCTTACCAGTCGGTCTTTCCGCCCACCAGCCCCACCCCAGGTCCCCTCGCTAGCGTAAACTCAGCTGGGGCTCCTTAGAAAGGACAAAAGACACTCCTCTTGCTCTGGAAATTCTAAGGAATTTTGGAGCTCCGTGCCAGGAGCTGGGACAAAGACCAAATATATTTTTTATCATACCACACTACTGAAGACCATTACGAGGGGGCTCAGGGGACAGGTAAAGCCAGCCTCGGGGAGACCTCATGTGGAGGACTTGTGGTATGAGGGGCCCCTACCGGTACCACCCCAACTCCTTCCAGACCCGGCCCTCATCACCCCAAGGCCATCCCAGAGTGGTACGGGGCCAACCACCCGGGGGCCCCGTAAGGCCTGTGCCACTTACTCGCTGTGTGACCCTGGGCCGGTGACTACTGATCCCTTACAAGCCTCGTTCTCCTCAGCAGTAAGATGGGGAGATGATAGTCCCGGCTGTACCACGAAGATGGAGGGCACAGAAGTGGCCGACGCAGCGAAGTTTCCATAGATGGCAGTTGTTGTTACTCATCCTGTGGGATGGGCTGGCCGTGCCTGCCCACGACAGACACCTGCTGAGAGCTCCCGGGTGCCATGCCTGGCTCTGGCGTACAGCCTGTGTCCTTCTCACACGCCGTCTGCAGCCAGGTGGCCCGGAGGAATATGACGCGTGTGTGACTTGAAATTTTCTAGGGGCTGCATTAGAAAAGAAACTCATTTCAATAATAAGTTTCACCCAATATATCTGCAATATTTTCATTTCAACACGTCATCAATATAAAAGGTTAATGGGATATTTTACACCCATTTTTTTCATAGCAAGTCTTTGGAGTCCTGCGTGTGTTTTATGCTTCAGCACGTCTCCGTGTGGCCCAGGATGCCAGGGCTGCAGGGGGCTGGTGGCCTCGCTGACCGTACGACCTCCCTACTGGCATTATTCCCCATTTACCTTGGGGCAGGACGGGGACTCGCTGGGGTCCTGGGAAGGTGGCCCTGGATGCAAACTCCATGCCCTCTGCAGCCCCCATGCTGCGTCTCCTTCCAGAAGCTGGCATGAGGGTACTTGACTGACACTCTTATCCTCCGACTTGCAGGCCAGGTGAACCGACTGCCCTTCTTCACCAACCACTTCTTTGACACATACCTGCTGATCAGCGAGGACACACCTGTGGGTGAGTTGGCACAGGGGCTGCTGGGCATGCCAGGAGGCGTGGGCTGGGTTCCGCTCCCCCAAGTGATGGGGATCGTAGAGATGGAGGCCATCTTCCCCCCTCATTTGGAGGCTCTTCCTTGGTTGTCCCCGGGGATGAGGCGCTCAGTACAACCCAGGGCTGTTCCTTCCAACATAGGGGAGTTCTGAGTGTCCAAGGATTTATCACATTGAGCCCAACTTGCTTGACTTCCACTTCGGCACTAGTTTTATTCTACAAAATGGCTTGTTCCTCTTCTTTGTGAAATTTTTGAAGATGGCAGCTGTCATGGGTTTTGTTTTATAGCATTTTGTGCTTTGCTGTGATTACTGAGTTTTCTGCATCGAGTGTGCCTGTTTGGGTCATGAGGGGAAAAAATGGACTATTTAGGACGTGATAACGAGCACCCCTTTCCACCCCAGCTTGAGTCACCTCATGACACAGCTCTGTGCCCATGATCCTCTTCCTGAGTGCCTGGCTTCTACGACGGCGGCGGGAGATGTGCACACATAGCCCTGTGGCCTTCGCTCGGCTCTGGGGACCAGAAGCTTCTCAGGAAATGGGGGTTGAATGGAACAAACCCATCTTGCCGCTGTGCTGATGGGAAGGCTCTCGTTCCTGGGAGCATGCTTGCAAACCACTGTGCCTGGAAAGGTCCCTCCCGCCTCCGTCCACACTCCCTCCTCGGTCCTCATTCTTCTGGGTGTCACTTTAGGGAAAGTGCCTGTCATCTGTGGCTTCTTCAACTCAGATCTGCCTCCTCTGTGGGTCTGGGGGTGGGGCTGTGCCCCAGAAGCAGCGGACTGGGGTTGGTGTGGTGCATCTTTCCGGAGCATCGCTTGTCCTTGAAAATGAAGTGGGATGGCATGGAGAGGGGAGGGGTATGAAGATACTGAACTCATAGTTCGTTTTAAACATTGTTTTATATAAAACCAAATGTAGGTGGGTGATAGAGGAGGAGCAAAATTCTTCAAAAAAAATCTCTGCTTAAAGACGGGAGCCTTAGTGGGCCCCAGACTCTCCCCTGCTGTTTGGGGGCCATGACAGCAGCCCCTGAAGAGGTCTTCCCTTCCAGTCTTTCTGGTGGAAGCTTTTTTCCAGGTGGGTGCGGGGCATAGCAGGTGTGTTTCTGACTCTTGTGGGGATTGTCTCCGCAGTCCGGTGGCACTTCATTTCTAGGGCCCATGGAGGGGTTTCTATGGAATGTGGCAGCTCTTTTGGTGACTAGCACCCCCCATGGATCAGCATTGAAAGGCTGGATTTGTGGATGTAGGTATTTAAAGGGTCGTCCAAGAGGGAGGCTGCCTGCCTCTCTGGAATGGTCTTCCACAGGCTTACTCACCTTCTAGTGGCGGGGGTGAGAGGGTACCTAGAAGTCTCTTGGGGATGCTGCTGAGCTCTTTCCTCCCCTCGGGGTTGTGTCAGGGCATGCTTGTGGGCTTCTGGATTCATCTGGGTTTCTCCCCACACCCAGGCCTAGCATGGGGCTGGTGCAGAGGTAGGAGAGCAGGTGCCTAGTATATGTGGCTCAGTAAATGAACGAATGTTAGCAGCCTTTATCATCCTTAGAGGCTCTTTGGGTTCATCCCTCTGTTCATCAGATATAGAGGGTGTGCACCCTCTGTGCTAGGCCAGGCCGCCATGCTCCCAGAGCGGAATTCAACAGAGGGATGAGTCAATGTCGCAGTAATGGGGGCCGGCCTGGATGTCTGATTAAGTCCCAGTGGAGGATTGAAGGAGGAAGGGGTGTCCCTCTGGGGACAGAGCAGAGGCAGGAGGAAGCAAGAGCGGTTTTGGGGAGGTGGTGGCCCTTGAGCAGAGTCCCGAAAGTCTCCCTTTCCATTCCTTCACACACTGTTTCCTGCAGCTGATTTTTAGGAGATTCTGTTCTAACCCTATCCTCCCGGACATTGCTTTGTGGTGGAGGGAATATATTCGGGACAGGTGGGCCATTGAGGCAGAGGTGTGGCCACCACTAATGGACCAGGGCTGCTGGCCGGTAGAGGTGAAGGCTGCTCTCAGGTGAGTGGTGCTGGCTCCGTCACCCTATCTGTGACCCTGCCCAGCCCTGAGTGTGGGGTTCTCAGAGGCCTGTGGTGCAGGGAAGGTGGTGGGGTGGGATGGACATTGCTTGGCCAGTGCTGAGAGTGATGAGCCCTAGGCTGGACGTCCCCACCCCAGTGAGCCCTCCAGCAGGCCCTGCTCTAGTTCCCTTTGGCTCTGGCTCTAGATTGTCTTCTGCAAACGCTAGCATCGATCGGCTTCTGCGAGCAACTCCTAGGACGTGGCCCCATTAAGGCTGAGCTTGGCAGTCACAGCAGGGGCGTCTGTCTGGTGCAGTGGGGATTGATCCCTGGCTCTGGGGGACCGTAGGAATGAGACAGGGCTCAGTGATCTGGAAGACAGCTCTGTTCCTTTCTCCGGGCAGGGGCTGGTGCTGAGCTGGCCCCTACCCTCCTGGTTCCTCCCTTCCTTTGGCATCAAGATGGGGCAGCAAGCTCTGGCCTGAAAGGCATGAATTCAGTTTTTGTTCTTCACTGTGTGGCATTGGGCACAGCGCTGCCCCTCTCTAGGCCTTACTTCCCATCTCACCAATGAGAGGGCATTGGAAAGATGGGTCCAGTGGGCTTTGGCTTGGGCAGTCCTGCTGGCTCAGTGTGTCTCCAGGCCCTCGGATAACAGGCCAGGAGACCTCCCCTGAGTGTTGTCACCTCTGTGGCCCTGAGCCATTCAGAGGTTGATGTGGACTCACATGGTTGTTTCAGGGTACAGACCTCGGACCGGCAGAGGTCAGGGCGAGGGGAAGGGTTGAAACAGCTTGTCCAAGGGGCTGGCCCTTTGCTTGTCATGTGGAATGGGGCGGCCCAGAGACTTGACCTGGAGGCTTGGCTCTCACTGGCCCTTTGCTTTCTGAACCTCGGTGTTCCAGCCTGCAAAATGGGGATGGGAGTCCTATCTTTGGATTCCATACCTGGAGTATTTTGTTACTGAAAGGAGAGCCTGTGTGTGGCCTGAGAACGACCAGTTGAGCTCTCCTGCCAGCCACAGCTTTGCGAAGGGGACAAACAGGTGCAGAGAGGAGCTGGGTCTAGTGGGCTGGTCAATACCAATGGTTTAGAGGCAGAGCCCAAGTCAGTCTGAAAGTGGCAGGAGGTCAGAGCTGTGGGCAGACCAACTTCCAGCTCTGGGGCTGATTATCTGGCTTCCGCTTAATGCGTGATGATGGGGAGCTCATGATCCTATAAGACGTGCTGTGGGGGGCGCCTGGGTGGCTCAGTCGTTAAGCAGCTGCCTTCGGCTCAGGTCATGATCCCAGGGTCCTGGGATCGAGCCCTGCATTGGGCTCCCTGCTCAGCGAGAAGCCTGCTTCTCCCTCTCCCACTCCCCCTGCTTGTGTTCCCTCTCTTGTTCTGTCTCTCTCTGTCAAATAAATAAATAAAATTAAAAAAAAAAAAAAAAAGACGTGCTGTCGGACAGTTCTGGGAAGGAAAAATTCTTCCTGATATTAATCTGAAATCTGTCCCTGGAACTCCCACCCATTGAGCCTAATTCTGACCACTGGAGCCTTACAGATTAATAATAATAATATATGATACACTATATATGTATAATGCATATTATTATAATAACTATGTTTATTGAGTGCTCAAGGTAGTGTACAATGTGTTTTAACTAATGTGTCTTCAAATTCCTTTAAGAATCGGAGTAGAGGTGGCTGCAGGCTCTGTGGGTTTGTAGTTTCTGCGAATTTTCTCTGCTGGGCTAGAGATTGTGACTTGGATTCACCCCAAACCTTCTGAGCCTTTCCATTCTCTACACTCCCGCCTCAGTTCCAGCCAGCGGCAGCGTGCTGGGGAGCCAAGTGGGAGGGCACAGATCCCTTGCGGAGGCTACGTGTTGTGTCACTCTATCTCCTCCCCCATCTCCAGTTCCAATTCCTTCTGCCTGTTGTTCTTTTTGAGCACCATCTCCCAGCCAGGGAAGACAGGAGCAAAATGAAGTCATTAAGTAGCTCTGCTGCTGCCCCCAGCCTGTTAGCATTCAGGGCCCCCTTGTCCCTGTGCGTCTTGCTTCAGACGTGACTATCTGTCTTGGCAGCCAAGCTGGCCTGGGAGGGGTGGAGCGAGGGCAGATCAAGGACTCAATGCCTGGTTGGGCTGGTGGCCTCGCCCCCACAGTGGCCCTGGCTGTCAGCAGTGAACGGCCACATGGTACCTTTAGGATGAGGGATGGATGCTTCCTGGGTGCTGTCTCCAGGTGACCTCCTGAATCCACTCTCACCAGTATGGCCCATGTCAAGGTCACCAGTGACCTCCAGGTGGCTAAAGCCAGTCCTTAATTCTCGGACCTGTGGCCTTTCGGCAGTTGGTCTTCTCTTCTCGGACATCAGCTTTCTGGCTGTTCCTTAGCCTCCAACAAGCCTCCCGCACCCCTGAGTGTTGCAGGGCCTCAGGCCCAGCTCCTGTATGCCTTCCCATGTCCTAGCCCTATCGCCGTCTCCTCTGGGCTCATGGCTTCTGGTCCTGTCCATATGCTGGCAAGTCGGAGGCTTCTACCTCCTTCCTGGGCCTCCTCACAGAAGACATTCCAGACTTGTGTGCCCACCTCTGTGCTCAGTGTTCCCACCTGGGTGTCGGAAGGACCCTCAGCCTCAGTGCGCCCGGGCCAGACTCCCGCCCTTCCCCTAGACCCTGCTTCCCCTGAAGCCTTGCCCGTCTCAGCTACAACTGCATCCCCCCAACCCCTGGTTGCTCAGGCTAGAAACTTGGGGTTGTCCCTGCGTCTTCCCTTTCTCCCTCACCTCCCATCCGATTCCTCAGCAAATCCTGTTGGCTCCATCTTCAAAATATTTCCAGAATCTTCTCACTTCTCACCCCTTTGGCTCCTGCCACCACAGTCTAGGCCTGTACTACCCCAGCAGCTTCTTAATGGTCTCAGGGGTCTCCCCGTCCCCTTGCCCTGCTACAGCCTGTCCCCACCCC